TTAATTGTTCCGTGCACTGAGCGAAACAAGCACATATCTTAGTCTTCACCTCAAGAAAAAAAGTTGATTTTTTAATAATTGAACTGATACTAAGTGTAATGAGACTACTTGAACCCTTTAGTCGCCAGTCGATGATAACCTTTTACTTTTTTTGCCAAAAAATGGTGGTTTAGCTCTTCATTGGTCGATTTTTGTAAATTGTAACTGTGGTAACTTCTTTAGCTTTTGCTACCGTAAGAATCTGAAGCTGCGCTGCCGACGAAAGAAAAGAAACCCGACTATTTGGTACAATACTTCATTCTTGTTTAGGCTCTTTTGATAAGTAATTGGTGGAATTCTTCGAGAAAGTTTTTAAAGAAACTTATTTTTATGTATTGTATGCAGAATCAAAGCTTCTTTTTCTCGATTTCTCTAGAACCACGTTGTGTTATGGTTGTTTCTTATTGATAACTGACTTTTTCACACGATGTTTGCCACAGTAAACCTATCTTTGCAAAGATTTTTTATTAGAATGACAATTTAATACTTGTATTTAATTATATTTTAAATTTGAATAGCTTTCAAATTGCATAAGGAGCTACTGACAATAAACGAGCACTTAAATTTGCAAATCAGTAATGTTTGGTACAAAAAATGATAGAACAAAGACGGTTTAAGAGAATGCAGTTTACTTCTTATCGGCTGAGATCGTCAGCACCCCACGGGCTGATAAATGTGACTTGATAGTTGCCGTATTGACATCGTTCGGCAACTTGTAAGATCGGTGAATCTCTCTGGCAACTGAACCATGTGCGTCCGCTCGCAGTTCATGTCGACAGTTGATTAAAAGGTCCTGTCCGGTGACTTTCACCTAAATAGTTTATTTGCTATCCAATAATGCTGAAGTGCTTGAGCAAGAGTAAGGTAAAAGTCTGTGAATTGTGTTAAACAACAAGGCCAGTGAGTGAAATGGAAAGTTTCGAGTAAGGAAAATTCTTTAATAAATAAACTAATCTGTGAAAAAGTACTTTATGAAGTTTCTTTTTTTTGGGGGGGATTTCATAAAGGGGTGCTGAAATGGCAGATATCTTTTGCCCAATTTCTGTGGTCTTAGCGATTTGAGAAATTAAATTTGACTTTCATTTTTTTACTTTTTTCAATGCGTGAATAGAGCAGTATTTGAAAAAATCAAGTTTTTCAATTTTTTTCGAAGTGCTAATTATATT